TTACTATGAAACCTGTCTTATTCGACATGCACGGGAAGAACATTTACAAAGTATGTGTCTATATGAACAAGGTGTTTTATTAGTTTAAAGCTCATGGACATAAGTAGAAATGAGTAAGGATATTGAATGGTGGAATTTAAATCACAGTTAAGAGCATTGCTAATTTGTCGGATTAAACAGGTTCCACTGTAATAGGTTGAACAATTTTCATTCTAATTCTCCGTCCAGACATCTTCATTTATCAATGTTTGTAAATAAGAACAAAATTTTCTAATTTCAAACTCTTTATTACAACACATATAATGTACATCTTTTACTAAATACATTCAGTAGAAAAAAATTACAATTATTTATTCCTTTACCTAAAACATATTTGTTTACATGTTTGTTACTTGATGTTAAATATTAAAAAAAGAACTCAACAATAAAAATTAATTTAAAATCGTCTCTTGAGGGTTTTCATATTCCATCGATGATCTTTCGTCTGTTAAACAAAATTAAATTTATACTTCACAGATAAATGTATAATAACATGTTTTTTTTTTCAATTAAGAAAAACTTTATAACTGAAATTTTCACAGTAATACTAAAACAAAAAAAATGTTATAAAGATTTAATAAAGTTTACCTAGTGCCGTCTGACCATCATGGTAGTCCCCCTCACGGATGTTCCATACTTTAATGGGAATACCATGGCCAGGCCCAGAACCCCGGGTACCAGGGACCGTTGAGGAAGGCGTCATGACAGCAGTTAAACCACCAGCCTCCTCTGTAGTTAGCAGCACAGTTACGTCTACTATCTGTGTCGTTATCTCTGTCTGGGGTGGAGAAGGACATCCCAAACAGATCGTACATAGAATTACCTGTGTCTAACATACTGTCACCTGTAGAAGTACAGATGTTTTAAAATTATAAGAACTTGTATCCAATCCCTTTGTATAAATTATACAATACACTATGTTCATAACAGAAGTACAGAGAATATATCACAGAGATAATTGATTCATATAAGATATTATATCCAATCTAATCTTCAATGATTATACTGGGGTACATTTAATTAAGACAGGCGGCTCTGTGTGCTAAAAAGAGCGATAATATTTATTTAAAAATACAATACATAAAATGCATTCTATTATTCATTTAGCATCCTATTAATGCAACGATAACATTTGATTTGTTACACTTTAAGGACATTGGCAACGTTTCTGGCTTTCGTAGAGAATTTTACAAGATTTTGTTAAGAGGTTTAATGGTACCAAACATGTTCAATTCAGGTTCTTTTTACCCATCAAGCCAGCCTTCCTTTAACGATTTTGTCAAATCAATGTTTTTACAATTTTCAATGCATTTCCTGTGTAAAATGTTGTTAAAATGTTGTTAAATGGACCTACATTATTTTTAACCATACGTTTTTTCTAAAACCCATTTATTTCATAAGGTTTATACATAAAACACATTGTTGAAACCTTATTTCCGATGACATGCATATAATTTGGCTGAAAATGCGACTTTGAAACAAAACACAGAAATACCAGCATTGTTCTTTAATTTTGAGTTACTTCCCTTTACTGTAATAACATCTAATCAATATTCATAATGATCAAGAGAGTGGTTGTTTGCATATATTTACTTAATTGGAAACGAACTGTCAAAACAAACATTTTTGCAACGATTTATAGTAACTTTTTAATGGTGCATCATTCACATAACCTATGGAATCGTTCTCATTCGGTCCACCTAGCTATCAACACTTTCAGCATAATTATTTCACTCCTTTGCACTTCCCAGCAATCATTTACCTATTCTAAATGACCACCTGTTAACTGTCTGCCCCCTCAACACAATGTAAACAAACCCATCGCTGCTTTTCCTTTATTACTGCAAAGTTGAATATATCCGATAAAAAACACATACATGCTTTTGTTTACCTCTCAGTCTATTACATATGCTTTCTTTGTTTTCAGCGCCTAAGAATTCCATAAAGATCACTCTCAATGACTTTTTTTCATAAGTAAAAAAACCTGGGTATAAACCTTTTTTCTCCGGAAACCCTTCGTTGCCATTGACCTTAAAGATTGTTTTTAAAAATGACTTTTTCAAAAAGAATCTTGTAGATACTGTGCCTTAAAAATGAATAAAATTCAATATTCAACAAATAATTTGGAATTTAAAAAAGTAAGAATTGGTGTTCGAAAAATGTTTGGAAATATTTGATTTTCATTTCACTTCAAATAATTCACCATGATGCAACAGACACTCAATTTGTACATAAGAAACATGACGTTAACCTTTCATCGCAAGCACTTTATAGCGCGATCATTTTGTTCTATGTCTTATCATTTTAATAAGATTATAACTTTTCTTACTTTTCATAAAATTTGCATATATATCAAATGGAGAGTGTTATTAAATGAAAGATTAAATGTTTTTGATTGATTTTTGTTGTTAACTGATGGATGATGTCATTTCCTGTATCAAGATATTGAATCAATAAATTATTCGAATGATGCAAACACACATAATGTTGCAATCACATTAACAGAAGAATTATGTGAGTAAAGTTTCAAAAAAAAAGCTTTTGAGTAAATAATTGAAAATGAAAAGAAATATATCAAATATAAAATACATTTTAAATATCAGAAAACAAAATAGACAACAAAGTTAAAAACACTTTCTTTATTTCTTTATCACTAGCATGTTTATTGAAAAGAAAGTGTTATTGATCTTTAAATCATTTCGTATTGACATAAACTAATTCAGCTTTATAAAATTTCTTGTTTTTTAAGGAAATATATGAATTAAGTCAAAGTTTATATATCCCTTTTAAATATATCAAATACACATCTTAGTTATCTTAATATCTGAGTTTTTTTCAACAAGTGTTGAACTACAAACTTTTATTATAATGGAATTCACGTGAACAAAAGTCAACTGATCAAAATATATTATTGAGTAAATATTTGAAAAGTATTAAAAACAACATACACTTGAAATGTTAAAGAGGAATGCAACCTTTAATTCATTTTATATATATTTCAAATCATTTTTAATTAACATGCGAAATCATCTTTAGACGCACTGTCCCTGGAAATATATGTTTTTTTATATATCCCTTGTAACAATAACTAAACAATCTTCAAAAATTGGTAAATATATTTTAATTAGGAATTCAACAACACACAGTTAACATTAATGGTACATTTAAAAATTAGTTTAATCTTTTTGTAATGTTCATAAATGAAAAGTCAATATTAAAATAGTGTTTGTCCAAATTCGAAACGAGATCAAAAGACCAGTATTTACCTATCCAGATTTCTTCTTCCGGTGAACCAAAACCATTTTTATATTCTGTCCAGTTCCTGTCAAAGGTCACGGATCCATCTATCCGTTTTTGAATTGCCTTGAAAAATTTACATAACAGTTGAATTATTTTGAAAACAGATAAATCTGCATCAGAAATTTGAAAAGGGAAGAAATTTCATTTATCTTACCTATCCCCTTAGTAAGAAATTCATGTTCATATAAAATTAACATATATCCATCCCCTGAAGAACTTAAATATATATTTAATTAAATTTGCATATTTTATACTTAATTCCTCTGAAAAACAAATCATATCTCAATCAAATTATAGGTGTATACTATATATCTCTCTCTCTCTCTCTCTCTCTCTCTCTCTCTCTCTCTCTCTCTCTCTCTCTCTCTGAATATCAAATCAAATCTGAGTTAACTTACAGGTTGATACTGAAATCCCAGATTAATAGATCGAATCTCAAACAAATTACAGGTTGATATTAAATACTCATCTCCTAAGGAACATCAAACCTCAATCATTGTATACACCATTTATAAAGCTATATAAATAAACAACACACCGTCCATCCCCCTCCTATTGTAGTCATGTCACAAAACACCTTGACAGGAATAGAGCTGATCCCATAAGGGTAGATGTCATACACGCCGTTGTTATTGTGACCTTTATCAAGAATATCCTGACAGTCTGTAGCGAGAACTAAAAAAAAAAAAAAAAAAACAAACAAACAAACAAACAAAAAACGGAAAAACAAAACAAAAACAAACAAAAAAATAAATAATCGATGATTCTATTTTGTATTTATATTCTGTATATTCTGTACATCACATTACAAGATATAGCAAATGCAAATGCAGACGAATATTGAAATCTTAAGAATGAAAAAAAACCTGTTATTCTAAGCTTAAATTAAAATTATTTTATTTGAATTGGCTGTGGACATATATGAACAAAAAAAAAACTTGAATGAAATTTTTAATCTTGATTGTGCACCTTTTTTAAAATTCTAATTTGTTAATTTATTATCTTGTTGTATTGATTCTTCTTATCTATTTTAATTAAGATATTTCTGCAACAAATAGAATTGATTTTTATTGGAAATATTTAAACGATTACAGCATGTTTATTATTTAATATAAAATCTTCATCAATTGAGCATGCTTTTAGAAACGGAAACAAAGCGATTGTTAAATCTTAAACACGTTTCTTTAAAAAATCTGTATAATATTTAAAATGATTTTCTGAACAGTACTTAAACTAGATATACTGTGAGTCACTAATGAGTTTTATTTATAAATGATATCGCCACCTCCCACATGATTATAATGGTAAAGTCTATGTTTTGCTATGGGAGACTCGCAAAAATTGTCAGATCTGAAAGTAAAATAAAATACTATAAAAGTAGCATAACATTTAATTCAGTGGTATAAGTGGAGTTACAGATAAGAGATGGGTACCCTTCAATATTTTAGAAAGAATGGCCGTGTCATTGTTTTGCTATAGGGAACCCGAAAAATGTGTCCGATCAAAAAGTAAATTAGAAGGTGCACAAAAGCACTATGTAACGACGATTCTGTGAAAGTTTAATTTAGTTGCATTCAGTGATATGAAAAAAGTTGTGGATAAGAGATTGATTCCCCAAAGCAAATGGAACGAAGGAAAAACGGACTTTAACTTTACCATTAAGGTCTTTCCATACTCAGAGTTATATGGGTTTAATCCCAAATTTGTTTTGCATACTAAAAGTAGGATATCTAAGCAACACAAAAAACAAATAAAACTAGCACATTGCCACATTAAATAAGTATATCAATGAGATCAAGATATGTCTGTTTTTCAAATTTATTAAAATTCATGCTGAGGTACTTTTTACGTTGGTTGCTAATTATTTGGCTAGAAAGTAGCTCTTATAATACAATAGATAAACTGAAATAATATTTTTACACAATTTTTGTAACAATACAGTCACATATACATGTTTAAATGAAAAAGAAAGCATTTATGTTGTTCTGCTAAAGTTGAAAAAAAAATGAAAATTATCAGCAAGTTCAGGTAAAATAAGAAAAATATGGGTTTAAACCTAATAATTCTTTTTAAAGTAAGTAAATAAACATCTAACAAATTGATAAACATAAAAAAATGTATACCTTTCCATATTGATAAAGTCAGTGCAGGCTGCTGTTTAACCCCCCCCCCCCATTTTTTTTCTCAAACACAAAGAAAAAATACAAAATTACCTGCATGAAACTTTTCTTTTGATATCCATTATATGTACTAAAGAAGTGTGAAACATGAGGAGGCACATCTACAGAGTGACCCAAATGACCTTGACCTTTAACCTTTCAGCAAATAAGAATTTTTGAGAGAAAAAGTTGGAAGACCCAACCACTTGCTGGTATTTTTCATGTTTTTTACCCTCAATATCTGGACCTGGGATATCTCTTAAATTCAGATCAATAGTAAATACATACTACACATTTGTAAATGTTCTCATGGTGCATTCAAATAAGCCACAACTTTGTCAATAACATTTTTGGATTTTGATACTCTCAGGATCTTTGTTTCATCTGCACGTTCACAGAACACATTCCCGATTCCATTGTATGGGTCACGTTTGTGAATTCATCTCAGCTTTGATACTAGACAGACTAAGGGAACAATCAACAAGATTCTTCAATATGTTTGGCAGGGATGAAATAACTTTAGACTTCACTGAGGTGTCTAATGATGATTTGCATGCATAGTATGACAGAGCGAACACATCATTTGAAGATGACATATCAGATATTCTTTTTCTCGTAGAGTTGCTTAAGTGATTGTGTGCATCTTAAGATGTGATTTCACTAAAATCTCTTGCTTATAGTTCTCTACATCAATCCCTTTTTTCCGGATTTTTTTTTTGCAAGTTCCATTCTATCAAGAAATCCAGAAACATTTTCTTTGAAATGTTCCAATAAACCATATTTTGTCAGCTGATTCACCAGGACTGGGACATCAAAATTCTGCACATTGTGGCCAACCAAAATGGGCTTGAAAAATTCCTTTAAAAACACAAGGAAATATCTAAGACCATCCTCTGGAGGGACTGATGTAACTGTTTGTCCTTTACGTTTTAGTACTCCACCAATGCATGTCATCCGAGTGGCCACAGAAGCTTCAAGACAAATCTGAGTTGTTGGTCACATATAGACATTCATCTCTTCATTCCCTGATACTGCAGCAATCTGTAGAATATCTGGTGTTCTGGCTACAATTATAATTTAGACAATTAGAACTTACAATGCAAAAATGTAAATTTACATATACCAAAAAATAACAAACTATTTGCAAGCTGAAAAAAATAGTAAACTTACCTAGCCAAAAGTGAAAAAATATCATTGTGGACTATGATCTGGAGAAACTTTGTCTTGCTTCAAAACAATGTCCTGGAGATCAGCATGATCTTGAAAAGCAATCTTTGATTGGTAGGTTTCACCTGTTCAAAAAAGGCAAAAAAGTGAAAATGGAAAAAAACATGTATCATTTGATTAATGTCAACAATATCAGTAATATCATGCTTTTGAATGCATCGCCCAGCTAGGAGACATGGTGCACTTCCTGTTCAGCTTTAATAAAATTTTATTTAAAAATGTAAATTTGAAATATGTATTTGAGTTCATTATATAATGAGACTTATACACAGAGGGGCACATCCAATATTTCAAATTCTAGAAATGACAACAACAGATCAACAATTACACACAATCTGATCATCAAAGTTAAATATTTACATTCGCTGTGTTTTTCTAGTAAGCCAACTGTGAAATTGATTTGAAAACCATTTTCGTGTATACTCATGCGTAGAAATATACACGGAGAAACATGCGTTAATATGACGTCACAATGAGGCAGCAGCGATGTTGGAAAAAATGCAACGATATATAGGGCAGCAAGAAATTCAAATACTTAGCATATTTTAGTTGCTTCCAAACATGTAAAATGTAAATATAAGGCCAAAAAAAAAATAATAGTCTTGTTTCCTGCTACCAGCCCGAAAAAAATAGGGTAGGTAGGTAGGAAAATTATTTTATTTTTTAATTCAATTTTATTTTTTCCAACGGTATTTTCTGGATATGAACTACTACAAAACCAAAATGAACATGTCATAGCTATAGGTCAATATTATCTTTTAAAATGAAATTCCATGTCTTTTGATGCACAACAGTGGAATTTTATGAAAGTCTATATTTTAAACATATATTTCATGTAACACAACTTGAGTATTTTTTTTTTCACTTTTGAAACATGATTCCTAAAATTTTTTATTTTTTCCCCAAAAGCTTAAAAAAAACTTTAGGGTCAGGTGCAAAAAAATAGGGTAGGTCGGGTAGCAGGAAACAAGACTATTTTTTATTTTGGCCTAAGGAATGTTTTTCAGTTTAGTGTGAATTATTGGTTTGTGAATCACACAGACTTGCATGTAGGCATATTTTTCATGAATGAAATATGCCTACGTGACAAGTCTGTGTGATTCACACACCAATAACTCACACAAAAATAAAAAACATTCCTTAAATTAACAACTTTTTTGTGTTATGTTTGGGATTTTTAATTCCGCAAGCATATTTTTATGTGGGTTTCCCCCAAACCCCCATTAATTATTCCTAAAATTAAAAAAAAAAAAAACTTTCAGATCTTAAAGGCAAACATGCCTGTAAACATGGTAAATGAAGAAATTGCCATTCACATATTACATTATTTTTCCACTATACATGAAGTTAGGGATATATTATGTTCACATACCTGCAGCTTACTTTGTTTTGACATCCCAGGCTTGGCCACCATTTACTATCTGTATCTGTATCTGTATATATACGTCGAAGTGACCAATACTGGCTTTTCTACGACAATTTACTTTAGCATGTTTAGTGCCAGTTGGTATATCATTTATAAAACCACACTCAGGATATTGGCATTTAACAAGTAAAATTTGGGCTAAACCGGTTTTTTTTCACCCACACAGTTTAAGAGATGTAATGGCTGACTGCAAAGATAACATGCTTTAAGTCCATCAGCCAGGGTCTCCAATTCTACCGCTCTTCTTCCAATACTCCATTCTCTGTCGTCTAAATTATCCGTGGTCACATCTTCTTGTCTAGCAACATGATGTATACGTGTTCATCGCAACTTTCTAACCTTTAAACATTATAATCGTGGTCAACTATATGTACGGCCGTAATAGGAACAAAATCCGATGGAAAACGAGATTTTCTGCCTTTATCCAAGGCGATTACTTAATGTTTATGGCCCTTTTTACAAACCTCCACTTTTTATTTCGCTCCATATTGAAACCGGAAATGAAGAACGATCTCTAATAAAAGAGTCAATACGGTCGGAAAATATTATTACAATTTTGTGACGTAATGCGGGTATGGAAATTCCTTAATACAGCCTAACAACCAATCGAATGGTTGCCAGTTTTTGTCTTTCGTCACTTCAGCCTTACAACCAATCAAATGGTCGTTTGTGTTTGTCTGTCGTCACTACAGCTTAACAACCAATGCAAACTTACTTATTTTGTTTCTTCAAAGTTAATAATTTCATTAAATGACATGATAAGGAAAAATAAAAAAAAAAAAAAATAGTCTAGATTGAGGAAACGCAAACAAAATCACCATTTATGTTTTGTTTAGTTAAAATCATTCAACAGAAATTTAAAAAAAAAAATATGGGAATCAATTCGCAGAAAATTGCATGTGCTTTAGGATATATCTCGGCATTTGCTCTTAATTGTGCTTTAATTAATGATTTTTATATCGTTATATTTAAAATATTTTTATCCAATGCAAACGCAAATCTATACATGTATATAGAGCAAATTATATGCACCCCCCCAAAAAACAAATATCATTCTCAATTAGATTAATAAAAATGCAGATTTGAATTGATAAGGGTAATGCTTTTATCTGAGACATGAACAATAACAACAATACAGGATAGTTTTCTTTTATACTTATGAGGAAATGGATTTAAGCAGAAACCAACAAAAGCCGAGGTTCTCTCTGTTGTACTTTCAGATATTTATTAAGGTCATTATTCAACTTAGATTCTTAATTTTGCATCCGTTATTTCGTCAAGAAGCACACTGCGAATGTGACCAATTATCAGGTATGCCCCTCCATGGCACCTGATACCACTTCTATTGATTTGAAGGTCATTCTTTTGTCTGTTTTTGTTTTGTATTGTTAGAAAGGAATTTTGAGTATGAATACTGTTCGTTATCTTCATATATTTCAGTTCCCAAACAATATATAAAAGGTAATACCTACAATCACGTATCCAATATGTACATAAAGTTATACATACAATCACGTATCCAATATGTACATAAAGTTACACCTACAATCACGTATCCAATATGTACATAAAGTAATACCTACAATCATGAAAGAAGTATCTCCAGCCCTCCTCATCTGATGTTGACGACCTGTGGAGTTTCCTGTGGAGCCGGCACTTCTTCAGTCCTTCATTATACCCAAACACGCCACAATCTCCCCGACATTTCTCAGCACAGTCTTTAAACGATATAACATACTCTCCTAGAAGTTCTTGTTCTGACTTTTTGTTGTCAAAGTCCATGCTTCTGGTGTATCTCCGGGAAAACATTGAACCCAGAGGCACTGTAAAGTAGGCAGCAATAAAAATTACAGCCAAGAGATTGCTCATGTTGTTCGCTGTGTATTGAACCAGTTGTACGGTTTCTGCGAAGAAATTGCAAGCTAATCTTCCAGCTAGCGGGTATAAATATCAAAGCTTCAGTGCTTTGCGTACCAGTGATTGGCTGTTTGTAACGTATTTTACTATCTCTGATAGATCGATTCGAGAACAAGAATTGCTGAATATTTAATTGGTCTAAATATGATAATGATACATTTAATATTGTTTTTAAAAATATCCGTTGATTTTCATCAAGATGTCCATCCATTCGTCTTCGTGTGCGTCTGTTTCTTAAGATTCGGTGCACCTATCTCTCATTCGCAACATATTGTAAAAAAAAAAAATGAAATCAAATTTAATGAAAATTATAATACCATTACTTGTCCTTAAACAAAAAATCAGCAAGCGTTACCGGGGGTTTTGAAAAGATATCAAATTTTGAAAGTTTTTGCACTATTCAAAGGAAAATGTACAAAAATTACAAAACATGAATTTCAGATTTTTTCATTAAAATTGTTCTAGAATGGATTATACAAATCCATATATAGACCTTATAAGTATTGCATACAGGTCCTTCATTTAGTGGAACTCTTCAACTCTAGGGAAGAACCCAGTAAAGTTCAAACTACCTTGCATATGACTTTAAGTGGGATACAAAACGAAATTATGATCTTTCATAAACCTCTGCATATTAAAGTTGTACTGATTTTATGGATTTTTATTTGATCAATTTGATTTGTTGCTAATCGTGACATTGTAAGACAACGTCAAAATTCGGTAAAATTATGTTTTCCTAAAATTTTGATAATACTAAAACACTGACTGAAACGCAAAATTATAATATTGATACTGGCTGACAAAAATAATGTAAGCAATCGAATTTCCATTGGCGTGAGAAATTTAAGGAAAAAAAGAACCTCCATGAAGGTTGATTAAAAGGGCCACCGTCTTTTGGAAGGTCATTATATCCTCGTTCATAAATTAAGCGTTAATGGACGTGGACCACCAATGTACATGTACTCTGTTTTACATTGAATCTGCAATTGAAACATCCTAAGAAAGACGAAGACGGTATTTTGAACAATCATTGTAATATGAAGATAAGAGGGTACCTAGGTTATTCTTCGGAATAGAATGAAGTTTTATGTAGAAAGTAAGGACGAAATATTCCTACAGCGTGACTTACCTAACTTGACGTGAAGTCGAAGTCTCCACCTGATTATGTTCCCCAAACGAAGTTGGGGAACATATTGTTTTTACTCTGTTTCTTATTATTACTTTTCTTCTTCCTGGGTACTTATTTGTCCGCGAATGATCTTGTAAACTGTTCATCTGATGTAGGTAAAACATTTTAGGGTAAGTAGACATGTTATGTAGATTTGCGGAATCAAGGTCATTTTGCGCACACGTGCTTGCAAGAGCGCGCACGTGCAACATGTAAAATGACCAATATAATTGATATAGCCGTAACTTTTCTATTTTCTGATGAAATGTGTTGAAATTCAGAATATAAAAATAAATTAGTATTATAGACAAGAGGACATGGTCAAATTATCATGAACTCACGCGCATGCACGTGCGCTTTGCTCTGATTGGCTGAAACAAAAATCTCAATATCTTATTCGTTTTTAGACGAAATACTTTGAAATTTAAAACATAGTCATGCATTAAGATATCCTACGATATGATATAAAATAATTTTTCTGAAATGACGCGCATGCACGTGCGCTGCAATCTGATTGGCTAAAAATTTAAATCGCAGTAACTCCCTTGGTTTTCAGTCAAACAGGATGGGATTAAGAACATACTGTGGAATCATCATTGTTCGTGGGGGACCAATGTTCGTGCCTTTCGTGGGTAACCCTAACCCACGAATTTACATCCACACGAACGTATATACAAACATTTGGTTTATTATTTGTTAAAAGTTATTTACATCGTAAAATAATTGTTACTCTTAGCTTGTGTCCGAGTGATCTCGCATAAAGAAGACAATCTGCATGTTATTAATTATTGACACGAAACCAAAATTAAAAAAAAAATTAAGTATCAAAGACATCGAGAAGTTACGAGAACTATATACAATAAGTAATAAGTAATAAAATTTAAGTAGTGTTTACATTATAGTTCAACACGCTCAAATGCCCGTTTGATGAGGTCAATTTTTAGTGCAATTTTTGAGTGGGTGCTAATTAGCCAATTAGCATGATCTGGTTTCAGGGTAAACGTTTTTAAGTCAATTTTGGCATTGTTGTCGTAGTTCTCATGTCACAGGGTGAATTATAATTAATTCATTAATGTTACTAATTATCATTCCTATCATTCGGCTGTAATTTGACGGTGCAAGCCGCGGTACATTTTTGTTTTCACAAGAGAGATAACTTAAATAAGCATTATTGACGGGGTTATCCTTCTTTGTAATTATGTTGGAGGGAAAAATCGAAATGGAACTTGTTACCAACGAAATTACGTCCCCACGAACCAGGAAATTTTTGGCTACCCACGAACATTGACCCCCACGAATAAAAATGATTCCACAGTAGATAGTCTTAATAGACATCTACAAGAGAGTATGGTCATCAAGCATATGCACGCACGTGCGTGCACGTGCAATACGTATAATATCAAACGCACTTGATTTAGCGTATTTTCGAATACTTTTTGATTAAATGCCTTGATATTAAGTACATTTAAATGAATTAATAGTGTAGATACAATGATATGGTCATTCCGCATATGCATGCAATTGTACGCACGTGCAATGCAAAAATTTGCTATATACGTACTTGGTATATTTTAGGAAAAATGTTGTTTAAGTTTAAGATGCATAGAGTTTAGTTTATTTGATGAAGCTTAGAGGGAATGAGGCACCAAAATGAAGTTGGGGAGCGTTTGGGGAACATCTGTAACGGTTCCCGTTACAATTAGCACTAGTTTTCAATTGTCCTTGTTCGAATCAGCAGCCTCTTGTGACCATATGGGTAGTCGGAAAGTTTTGTTGCAGAACGGCTGTATTTCATAAATATGTCTAATGTTTGCTTTTTAATTCTAGAAAGAAATTCCATGAAATTTTCGATAAATCCTTATAGTTTGTGTTTCCCATTATGAAACATGAACATTACTATTTTTTCAAT